AATATATGTTGCTGACCTCAACAATGTCTATTGTGCACGACGTCTTACAATGGTCGCGGCTCCTTTGAACGTATTCCAGTTATGTATTTGGTGGTGCAACTTCGATTCCGTACAGCAATCTTCAAAAGCACCCTAGCGATGCTCATGTAGCATGTATTCGATATACTCGTAGCATAGCATGCGGGTGGTATATTGCGTATACATAGGCTGGTATTGCAGTGACGAACTACGGAGGAACAAGAAGTTTCTTTATGTTTTCCTTGGGAGTGTGGTAGATTGGTGGACATTAATGGAGATTCGTTTTGGGTGTTTGAGCGTTTTGCGTGACTTGATGCCGTGATGGAATGACGAGCTCAAGCACGCCCCCGATGAATACAACACGTTTGTCAACACGTTTTCCAACACGTTTTACAACACGTTTTTCCACACGTCTGTATCACTTTTCCTACCCCTACCGTCCGTCATGGTCGAGCTGCTCTACACTCCCATCACACACAACTGAGCCACCCGAATTATCGACCAAGATATACTCATAGCATAGCAAAGATGGTTGAATATGGGACATGGGTCTACGGAGATTGCAATTGGTAGATTGCGGAGGAACAGGGAGTTTCTCCTTGGTTTCTTCGGAGATTCGATGAGTGATGATGAGAGTTGCGTGACGGATGAGTGTTCTGACTTTCTCCTCGGTTCCTCGAACACAAGTGTTCTCTGCTGTCCCCTCTTCCATCTTACACAAGACTTTCTCATCTCGGCCCTCACTGGCCGAGCTGCCTTTCTCCACAAACCTAAAAGCTTCGGCCTACCCGGTTTACCCAACACGGCTAGCGTTGAACCACTTTGTCGAGGGTGATTGGGTAAGAGCCAACCAGAGATTGGTAGCACCGATGGTCAGCCGCATGCATGCGCGGCTGACGACACCCAACCAGACGAGGAGGCCACCAACGGCGAGGGCGTGCACGGTAGCAGCACCTCCAAGACCTACAGCAGCGCCATAAACAGCTGCGCCCCGTCGTCTACTGGGGTTGTAGGCATGAACAGGCACGTACGTGATGACTTGTCAGTTTTGGACTGCTGTCGTTATGTGCACACCCATGCGGCCTTACGCCGTGCTTTTCTGCTGTCAAACGCCAACACTGACTCCACCTCCACCTCCACCCGGCACTGCCGTCAAACACCTCTCTCTCCTACTCCTTCTCTGGTATAATCGCGGCAATACGCCGCGCGGTGATGCCGACAAACTCGAACTCTTACTCAATCAAAACGCGACTAGACTAGACTATACGTCGTGCGGTACTGCCGTCAAACTCCACCGCTTGGTCAAAGGCCGACTACTGTAGCAAATGGGTAGACCCAACCTAGGTTACCAGTAATCCTCAAAAACTGGTGCCAGTTTCTAAACTGATGATACGATGTGTGTGTAGCATGGTGGTATTAGAAACAGTATTGTGCGTAATGTAATGCAGCGATTGGCGAGGTTCTGTGCTTTGCCTTCCTGACAGCCGTGCTGAGACCAACTTTCTCTCCCCGGCAACAGCGTGATCAACGTTATATCTGCGCTCTCTTTGGTAGCTACTGTTTGAGCAGCAAGTGTAGCCTGATCAAAAATGCGTGATCAGCGTTTTATCTGGACTCTCTTTGGGTAGCAGGGTTAACCTGATCAAAAATGTTTTGTGTCTTGGTTGTGTCAGCGAGTGCCGGAGACGTGTGAAGTTTCAGCGACGTGCAACATTGATTGGTACCTCCACCTTGTTGCAGATTAAAAATCTACACTATTATTGACAAAATAAATGCTGATTTCCGAATATTGTTATACATTTCTTGAGGTTGCTATTTGCTGTGAGATTGCGGTTCCAAAGTTGTTCAGGTTTTGACTCAGGATTGATTACAACAACATATTCGCCTGATTGAGAGCGTAGCATCTGATTGAGAGCGAGATTGCGCGATACGCTGTAGCCGGACTACCACTGAGAGGTGGAGCTTGCTGTGTAGCTTGAATTGAAGGGCTAGCCCGTAGCTTCAAGCCGCTACCCTGGTCATCCTGTGGGAGTCTCTCGTTGTGGAGCTACAGCGGGGAGCAGAAGCTACAGCAGAGCCCACCGCCCGACGCGATACCGCCCTGAAACAGTTTGAGCAGAAATAGCCAATCTGGGCAAATCTAGCAACTTGTCTAGCTCCTCGCTGCAGCATCCGATGACGATGACACGCATATGCTCGCGAAGCTGCTGATGAGACCTTCAATTTGCACCGCTTCTTGGAATAGCCCGTCCCCTACTTGCCAAGAAATGGCAAGAGGCGTCTGGACCCGAAATTTCAATTTTTTTGGCTCTCGCTCTCAATCAGATACTTCGCTCTCAATCAGGCGAATATGTTGTTTTACCCTGTGGTTAGAACAGGAGCAGCGGCTGTGCTATTATTTTGTGATCGAGGACTGATCAACCTTCTCCGTGTCAGGATGATCTTGAGCTATTTATTGAGTGGCAATGTCGCAGTGATCGGTAATTTCAGACGAACCTTTCCACAAGTAGGGTCCGTCGAGTTGAAAGTGTGTTTCATTTGTTGCTTTTTCTGCTGCAGTCGCTACTGTGCAGAACCGGGGGGAATGCTGCTAGTATGTGATTCTCCTCAGTAGTGCTGGTTCGTTAGGAACTAATCTGCCACCATCTTCCCCTCCAAACGCGCGACCTACCCTGCACAACCGCCGAGTCAATCCTCCGGGAGCGACAATTGCTCTTGCCGCACTTAAGGCGGACGCAAACATCCAAGCTCGAGTCGCGCGGCCAGCCAGAAAAGATGAAGGCGGGAGGCGACCGCGGCGAAGGCGTGCGAAATATCCGCTGGGGGGGGCAGAAACAATGGCTTGGGCAATGGGTTAAGCGCTGGGACTTGATGTGCGCGCAATCGCAGGGGTTTCAAGTGTTATTGTTTAGGTGTTGAATTGGACGATTTTCGAATGTTTTGTTTTGGTACTGGATTGAACTTTATGCTGGATTGGATTTTGGCCTTGGTATTGGATTGGTTTCTAGCATTCGGATTTCCGAACGTTGTTTCGGCATTGGATTGCTTTGATTTTGGTGTTTCGTCGGGATTTATTTGCAGCAGGATTTTTTTTCTTGGGTTTCGACTGGACGAATATTGAATGTTGTTTTGGCCTGTGGTTCAGATCTCCGAACCCTACAAAAAACAGGGGGGCGGATGTTCGAAAATGTCCTGTACTTGGAAGGGGAAGACGTTTTATCTCTTGTATTAGACACGTACGGGGAGTAGGGAGAAGTGAAGCCCTCTTTGGAGTTCGAGGGGTCCCCGCACATGCAACCATTTCAAGGTGTACATATGCCCCATCTGCGTGCCCTCTCTTGTTGCCGGTAGATCTAACCAGTCCGTATCCAAACACACGAACACCCTCCCCGGTTTACACGCGAATGGCAAACCTTACGTGGGGGATGGATACCCCTGATCTACCAAAGAGACTCAAAACAACAACAGGCTCGAGGGAAAACCCGGCCAACCGGATCAAAAACCCTCGTCTAACACCCTATATATAGAATACTGTCCCTATCACACAGGATTCCAACGGCCGCACTTCCAAGACAAGACCAAGGCAGGACAGATTGAACCGGTCACGCTGATTACACACCCGAAGCAACGCTCTCGGCGTTTCTAGGCTCCAGCCGCGGGTGACGCACCAGCACAACGCTTCCTGCGTGACGTACCATGGTCATGTACGCCAAGTGCTAAAACCACCACATAAACCAAACAGAACAAGAGAACACTACATCGGTAGGTTCATCAGAGCCTTCCGGTGGTACTCTAACTTCTCTCTGCCAAGGACCTTGGTCAGCATGTCGGCGTATTGCTCTCCAGTCGGAACATACTCTGCAGTGATCTTGCCCGGCTTGAATAGCTCGCGAATGAAATGGAACCGCACGTCGATGTGCTTGCTCCTCGCTGAGCTGAACGGGTTCCCGATCAAGGCGAGAGCCCCCTTGTTGTCCTCAAGGACCTTGATCTTCGCCCCACTCGTCTCGGGCGCTATGAACGACAGAACGCCACGCACAAACAAC